GCGTTACAAATTTATATATATTTTTATGTTTATCATTTGCCATTTTAAGGGGGTGCGGTGTATAAACTAAAGATCGACATAAACAATTTACAAAAAAGGAAGGATGCGTTGTAACGCAGGGTGCAGTAAATAAATTCACTCTAAATATAAAAATATTAATGAAAATGGTTGAATTTATTTAATTTTTAGGTGGTCGGTCACTTTTTGTAACCCACTGTATATGTCACATAATATAGGTCGTATAAGATAGTATGTCGTACACGTACTATAAGAACGATACATTTGCATCTGTTACATTAACAACATGCGCAACCTAGGCTACTAACAGCCATTCAGGTAAGTAGAACTACATTTCTCATTCCAAAAAAGTAGAACCCCACCCTTCGATCTAAACTATACTAGGAGTAAAACTACGCTTAGCCTTAGGTATATAATGTGTTATATATTTTTTAAGGGTATATACCATGTCTAAAAATAGTATACACCATGTTATACTGGGTTTATATTATTTCTTGGGTATATACCAGGTATATACCTTTAAATATATACCGGGTATATATTCCCCATTCCTAACTACGCTACTACTAGTACTAAAGTAGAAAAGTGATAAAAAATACCTTGTTGTTAAAAGTTTAATTTATCACAATTATGAGATAATCACATGATTTTACGCAGAATTTTTTGGGTGCTCTTGGGATAGTTTTTTCCCATAGAAAATCTTGTCTGGTATCAGCTAACCAAATTAATAAAATTGACTATCCTTCATAAATAAAATAGGGCTCTTAATCGAACCAATTAACATCGATCATTAAATGGTTCAATTAATGACTCAATCGCAAATATTGGCCTGATTAAAATTGAACTAATTTTTAGTCGAACTAATTTGTTTTTCAATTTTTGCATAAAAAATATTAATATGAAATTTTTATAAAAATTCAATCATTGATAATGGCTTAAATTTAACGATCGATTTAAAAATCGATTGCATGTGATCAATTAAGCTTAATCTCGATTACACACCTGCACGATCGATCGATCAATTCCTCGATTGCAATCCTAAATAAAAGGTATCAGTTGAGTTATACAAACCATTACCAAGCTGTTAATTTTAGTGTTGTACATAGTCACGACGTTATGTGCCAGATGGACATCTGAGACATTTATATTTATATAACTAATAATTATTATTGAAATTAAGGATTTTATTCCTTTAATTCCTGGTTTTCTTGGTAATTTAGCTAAGTTTTATAAGTTATAACATCCTTTATCGCAGGATCCTATTGTACACTAAATGAAAAACATGTATTGACCAGTAATTAGGGATGGGATCAGTTTCGTCAGCTCCATTTCAGTTCTTCATCGGTTCCCGCTTCAGTTCTCATTAAGTAAAATATGAGCAGGTAGAGCATGCAATGAAGATCGATTAGAAAAATTTTGATTGGTCATCAAACAATGGTTGGTCCGTGATCATCATAATTTTGATGACAATCCGATTTGGAGTGGTTCCTTCAAACCAGTTCGGAGCCGGTTCTGGTTCAATTTTTAGAACAGTTCCCAGAGTATTTCAAGTTCAGACTTCAGAATCTGCTAAAATTAGAATCGGTTCCAGAACCGGTTTGGAACCGCTCTGTTTGGAACTTCCCCATCTCTACCGGTAATGGTATTTTACTCGTAATTTAGTATTTCTTTACTGATGAAATTCTCCTTTATCTAATTTTTCAAAGTATATTTGAGTTTTATTTCCTTCCTTAACTATTTACATTATTTATCAATTTTCTTTAAGTAATTAACTAAGATAATTTATTGGCATTACAAATATCAATTCATATTTGTATGACGGAGTTATTATTTGATCACTATTTCTAATGTGTTGAGAATCTAGAATTTTTTTTTGTTAGCAGATATGTTTTTAACTTCAGTTACTTTATTCTAATTAATTGAATTAATCAACTTATTGGATAAATTAACATTCATATTTAAATTTCAAGATTAAATGTAGGGAATGGAAACTGTTGTTTAAACGACAATATTTAATTTATTTATTGACGTCAGTGATGAAACAAACAATATGGGTACTTTCGAGATCATGTGCAATGACATTCTGCAAGTTGCAGATAAGGACATTTTATGTTATTAAATCTATAATTTCGCTTCGCTCCAGATTAATTAGCTTAATTGCCGATCTGCCTAAAATCGGCACTGCGTTACTAATAAAATTCGGGGATAATAGCGATAATAAAAAAAAGCATTTTTTGCATCTCGCGCGCAAAATAAGTTTCACCCATTTTACAAACAGAAATATCATAAATACAATATTTTCTTTCATTTTATGACAAGTCATATTTGCCAAAAAATTTTATAATTATATTTCTGTAACTGGTTTTCTTCAACTTTCACTTG